TTTTTTTTCCATCTCAAAAAGGTGCTTTTAATGATCCTCATAAAAACTCTCCCTGGACTGGCAGGAAATGGTGAGAATGCACATTCTAGCAAGGCCAGTAAAGGCTGTGGATTGAGGGCTAGAGGGGCACAGGTGCTGACGGGCTACAGGTGAACTGCATTATATGCTCAGCCCTTGGTCTCCCAGCAGGGAAACAGACCCACGGGTCGTGCTGATTGGGGTTCATTCTCCATTTCATTCTCCATCTCTTGTCCCAAGTGCTCTGGGTAAATGTGAAGCCTGGCATGCCTGCTTAAGGGAGGGTTGGGTCAGGATCAGAGATCCCTGGTGGTGCCCTCTCTTAGCAGTGGAAAGACAGAGCCTCTTCCCTTCAGCTCTCACAGAGTGTAGGAGAAGGTGCTCAGCACCCTGCCTACAAGCAACACAACATCCTCCTGGTCATTGAAGAAGCTCGCATGCTCCTTACTTGAAATTATTGGGGAAGGGGAATGCGGGAAGGAAGGATCAGGAGAGAAACTTGCATGGAGAAATGAGACAGCAGCTGAGCAGCCAAGGAGGCAGGTCAGCGAGCCAAGAGGTGTCGTCTCCAGATGTGGCCTGCCGTCTAATCTCCCCCTTCCCACACTTCTGGAAAGAGTTCCTGTCGATCATGGTCCAGGGGCTCCTGTTGTGGCTGAGCCCCAGGAAGTGGGACGGGGGCCTCAACTCATCAGTCCCAGATGACGACAAAGAGGACAGAAACGCCATGACCTTGTCAAGTCTCTTGAATGGTGTCCCACTGTTTTCTATTTATAAAATGCGATGCCAGCCTGGTAAGGGACATGCTCTGAACTTGTGCATGTGGCACTCTGCAGGGCTCTGAAACTGAGGGATCACAGTGGTGCATGGACCGAGCAGCAGCCCAGGTTAGCCGCTCTATCAGGTAAATTCCAGTGTGTGAGGAAAGTGGGCTGAGGATCCTCCAGTCTCATGGAGGAGGAGATGGAATCTCCAGTCTCATGGAGGAGAAGATGGAATCTGGGGTCACTCTTACCTTGGCACGTGTTCTCACTCTCATTCCTGAATGTTGCTCCCCCAGACACAAGCTCATATCCCGGGATGCACGTGCAGTAGTAGCTCCCATCCGTGTTCTGGCAGTCTGCAAATTTTCCACAGGACACTGTCGCTGGTGGTCCACACTCATTGATGTCTGGAACACAACATGACAAAGGATCATGAGTTTCCAAGGGGCAGACCCCAAATCCAGCCTGACCCCACCATGGGCTGGACTGAATATAACCTCCAAGACTCCTCCTTAGGTTGGCCTGGCAGGAGCAGCTGGTCCAGAATATACCTGCTGATGGCTCAATGCATCTCTGTTCTCTGGAGGGGCCTAATGACACCTAGTTAAAGACACTCTGCTGTGAGAGCTCACTAAAGTCCCACATATATGAAAACAGACATCCTGCTGTGTCATGACGGGGGCTGGAAAGAAGCCTGCATCCCTGAGCAGGCCTGAGGGGCTGAGAGAGGCAATGACTCAGGCTCCAGACCCTCTACTGGGGAGCTGTTTGTTTATCAGGAATCTAGGGGCTGTTTCCACCCAGGAAACAGGGGCAATGCAGGCCACCCTTAAAGCTCAGTCAGGAGGGGGAGTCACAAGTAGACCTCTCAGGGCCATGCACATCAGGTACCTGCTCATTACTGTCTTCCACCTCCCCCTATTCATCGTGTTCCAAGCACATCTCACTTCTCTTCAGGAGCCCCCAAATGTCAGACTTTTCAAGGTGCACCAGATGTCTCTGGGAAAGTTTTGTTATCTCAGCCCCTGGCAGAAGTCACCCCTTCTCAGAATCCATCACCGATGTGATATGAGGAGCAGCGTGAAGCTTCTCCAAATGCATGACTACAGTATTTTCTGGCAGCTTACCTCTTCCTGTTTTCTAAATTTGAAAGCAGAGACTGCCACTAATCGGGCCCCCTTTCAGTAACTTTGGGACCCAAAGAACAAGGACTGGACCCATTGACTCAAAACAACTTAATAAGAAACATAGATTCGAAGATGAATCAAAACACGGGGACAGAAGTTTTGGCCCCATACATTTCATGAGAGGGCCAAAGACCTTAGAGCCTGAAAGGACCTGGGGACAATTGGTGTCCCCCACATCAGCATGCTCTTCCCTCACCTGCAGATTTCCCTTCTAAGTCCAGGCTGCCACTGTCAGCACCTAGATGGGACAGGATGTGGGAAGGATCCACACCTGAGAGATTTTTGTTCAGCATCACCTGGGCAATGGACTTCCTCCTCTCTTCTCATGTGGTGGATAAGGCTGGAGGCCTGTCTTCAAGGATGAATGGAGTTCAGTGGGATTAGGGGGGAAATGAGATAGGGGTGAAGACATGGGGAATTCCTCAACCAGCAGGTGTCCCAAGTAGGAGCTGGGATGCATTAGCTGCAGGACCTCCTGTCTATGTTCACCAACACAAGTGAGACCTACACCCACTCACAAAGGAATCCTCTGGAAAACCCCTGGACATGTTTCAGTTGGACTGTAGTCATCAAAGATGTTTTTTGCCTGAAAATTCTACATCCCCTCACCCCAAATATGAAATAACATGTGGGTGGTTAGAAGATAAAGACAATGTAAAAAATAAAATTATAAAATCCTGCAAATATATAAAAGCTGCTGGAAGTTTTTCAGGATTATTTTTTCCTTAAGGGAAAAAATGTTGGGCCCTCCCTTGTGGCCCAACTGGTGAAGTACAGCACTGCAAAGCTGGCCTCAGCCACTGCAGCATGAGTTTGATCTCTGGCCAGGGCCTGATCCACAGGGCGCAGCAGACCTCCCCTGTCCACCTGCTGCTCCCCTTAGCAGTGTACTTCTTCAGTCTGCCTGTTCTGCTCCCGATCATGTCTCACATAAATCCTCTCACCACTCCTGCACCTCTGCCCTATACCCTAGTTCTGTATGCATAAATAACAAACAAATCTTTTTTAAAAAAAGGGAAAAGTTGACTTTGGATCTTTCAAATTTTTTTAGTCAGTTGTCTTGAAGTTCTTTCCCACAGGTCTAACATATAGTTCTATGAATAAAGCAAATTTCCAATATATAGGTCTACAGCAAATATTTTTTAACTTTCCCATTATATTAGGAACATTTTTATTTACCAATAAATATGCAGCTAGGCTATTTTGAGTCATAAAGAGTATTGCTTGGTGTAAAAACAACATAATTGTCCTTGTCCTTTCTGTTTGTTTTTTTTTTATTGTAGTGACATTCATGCCACAAAGCTTAGCATCCTACTTGTTTTTGTGCTATGTGTTGTTGAAGAATAAAATCTCCTTTGTCTTAGACTCAGATCTATGTTCTCCCACCTAATTGTCTATGTGTCTGAACAAGTGACTCAAACTCCTTGATCCCAATTAGAGTGATTCAGAAATGATGTTCTCCCCCTTGCCTGGGGGGGGGGGGCTGCAGTGAGGAGTCACGTGGTAAACCATGACTGAGAGTGGGCAGCAGTTCTCTGTGACCTTGAGCTAAGTGAAAGACAAAGCTTCCAGGTGAGGGTTCCTCCCCTTGACTCAATTATCTCTCCCTCTCTTTGTGTTATGAAAATAATGATAACAATAGTTTTAGCAAAGTATAGTCTAGTTCACTATACTAGTCTTTGCCTGCTCTTTACGCAGGTGAATTTTATATTTTTAATTTCTTAATTTATTTTTATATATTTTACATCTTTGTTCATTATTGTACAATGTCTGCTTTCTCCTCTCAAATGTAGTACAAGTAAAATTCCACCACCAATTTACCAGAAAACAGTCACCAAAGTCCCTTATGCTCTTCCCTCTGTTTTTTCACCCCTCTCTTTCCCCCTCCCCTGCAAAATGTCTCTTATTTTAGTTGCCTGTTAATTTTGGGGTTTTATTCATTATTGTTTTTTCCTGATCTCTTATTTGGTTCCCTTATATTCCTTCTATAAATGAAGCCATTGATAATTTTCTTTTTCCTTCTGACTTATCTCACTGAGTATAATCTCTTCTGGCTCCATCTTTGTTGCAATAAATGGCATGAGTTTATCTTTCTTAATTGCTGAATAGTACTCCAATATGTATGTATACCACACCTTCTTGATCCAGTCATTTGTTTTGGGGCATCTGGATTACACAGATGAGTTTTAAATCTCATTCCATTCATGGAGATCCACACACACAATGTACAAACATCAAAATTGGGAAAAGAGAGGATAAATGATTTCCAAAATGTCAGAAAGCCAGTCAGGAACAGAATTAGACTGGAAACCTACATAGAACTACTGGGGAAGCTCTGGTCACTCTGCCCACTGCTCATGAAACCCAACTGCCCATTTTCCTCTTATTCTCCTGACCTTTCCCCTTGCTTCTATGCAGCTATCAGGAATGAGGCTCAGGAGACTACAAAATAATCCCCCAAACTCACTATGTGCCCTCCAGCTTCCCCAAATCTCCTTACCATCACAGATCTCTGAGAGATTGGTGAAGAGCACTCCAGACAAAGAACTGAATCCTGGCAGGCAACGACAGGTGGTGGCATTGACACACATGGAGCTCTGAGGGCACCACGGAGCGCAGGCTGTGGCTGCAGAGGCTGTGGGGACAGATGTTGTAGTCAGAAGATCCAAAGACTATAAGAAGCCAGATGCCAGCTTGGGATCCAAGAGTAGAAGAGGGGAGAGAAGAAAAGGTTGACTGTCATCCAACAAGGAAGAGCTCAGAAATTGGACATTTAGAGATGAATCAACACACTGCTTCTCTGATCTCCAGAGGCCTATCTTAGAGTCTTGCATATCAGCCTGCTTTCCATACTTTGCAGAGGACCCAGATCCCTGCTGCACTCCTCAACTGAAGTTACTAATGGGACTGGCTGGGCAGACTCACCTCCAGCGTTCAGAACTGAATGCAACATCAGGAGCACTGACAGCCCTAGGGCAGGAAGACAGAGAAATGAGCAGAGATGAAAGTGCAGCTCCAAATCAAGCCTGTTCTCATTACCGTCACCTCATGATCAGGGTCCTGCAACCCATCGCTTCCCATTGTAACCCAAAGTCTCCTGTACTTGAGGAAAAACTGATCGCATCCCTCCATCTCCCGAGATTCACAAGGAATCAGTCACCAACAGACATAGCACTGGAGGAACAAGTGTTACAGAGGACAGAACATATATTGGCAACTGATAATAGACACACCCTAGAATCTTCAGCCACTCCTAACAGAGGTGGTGAAATTCTCCATATGAAATGACTTACCGGACATGACCCCTGTCAAGCTCTTCATTCTATGGCAGAAGGAGAAAGCTGCTTTGAGGATTTCTCTTACAGGATCACTTCTATTTAAGGTACATGTTTCAGGACATACTAGAAAATGATGCATTTTGGAGTCAGCCATCCCAAAGTCTGAGCCTCACCTAAGAATATGAACAGCACTCAGGGCCATTGACAGAGAAGTTGGTGACAGGTAAGGAATGAGAACTGACAACCTGCAGGTAGAATCACTGTCTCCTGGTTAAGTGGCCTGTCCAGGTACAACACTCATGAATGGCTCCTTCAAAATGAGCTCCTCACCCTCCCTGCAGTGCACTAAGGCACAGTCTCCTCTTTACCATCCAGTCCAGTTCTGAGAAGTGATTCCCTCACAGCAGCAGGCTTTGTGGTATGAAAACCTCTACAGGTAAGAAGGAATGACATCTAACTCACAGACACACCAGTCTAGCTATTAGGGCCTGTCTTTAAATCCTGCCAGTCATGAGCCCTGTGACTATCTTTTCACGTTTACATGACTTTACAGGATCTTTCCACTCAGCAAAGGCCAAGATGAATCCCCCTTCCAGATTGTACTGCTCTTCCCATACTATGCAAGCACAGAGAGCCCTGCTGGAGAATGGATGGGAGTCAGACACGTCCAAGTCTGCATCCCAATCCCCTCTTGTTGGCTGCCTGGATTTGGAAATACCCCTTCTTTGAATTACAATTTTCCCCAGTGAAAATTGTTACAATGGTAGTCATAACAGCTTTATTGTGGTTGTAGATTTGGGGACTAATAAAGTTTAGTACAGTGTCTGGCACCACAAAAAACTGTCAGCTAAGGGGAAATAAAGGGTATAAGATGAAAATGAAAAGCAGAGTTCATACCTATCCTCTCTGACCTTGCTTTTCTCTGAGACACACCTGTATCTGGGTCATACTATCAAAATTCACATTAGTAAGAGCCCTTGACTCAGCAGTCAGAATCTTAGACTTCTATTGTCCCTCATTGTCCTTCCTCTTACAGCTCTGTCCAGTGGTAAAGAGAGCCAGATAGATGCGTAAGTCCAAAACCCAAGGTGGAGTCCAAAGCCTCTTGGGAAAGTTGTTCAGGAACTCCATGGTTCACATGTCCCTGTGTTCTAAAGTGTGGAACCCAAGGGAGGGAAAAAGAGTCCTACTGCCCCATGTGTATGTATTAATTCACTAGATCTTCTGAATATATTATAAATACTTTAGATATCCAAAAATACAAAATGCTTGAAGAAACTAACTTTGCCTTCATTTCTTTTAAATACCCACTGCATTTGACACAATAGACACTCTAATATAAAACCACCTGTTGAAAATATCATGTTCTGGCCCTCCCTGGTGGTGCAGTGAGTTAAAGCACAGCACAAAGAAGATTAAGCCACTTCCACATGGTTTGATCCCCGTCTGCCCTGGAGGAGATCCATGTGGCGAGGCAGACCTCTCCTGACCC